ACAGCATAAGCAAATGGGAACATCCCATTGTTTGGATCTATGCCAACTGCAGTTAAAAGGACCCCACCCATTGAAGTTCTCAAATGACAACCATCAAGAAATAGAACAGACCTACATCCATCCAATAAACCATCTCTCAGTGCACCCCAGCAAATGTACATTCTTTTAAAAAGTGTCTTATCACCTACCCTTTTACATTTTATCTTCACTGTGGTATTAGGATTTGACAACCTAATTTCACTAGCATAAGACCACAACAGGGCATATTGTTCAGGATTAGCCCCAGATCCACTCGTCAACACTTTTTTTTTAGCTCTATAAAGTTGACTTTTATTGAAAAGAAGTTTGTGTTCCCCTTGCACTATCTTCCTCATGGACTCCACAGGCCACTTAGGATCAGTCCATATTTTCTCTCTATATGTATCTGTTAGCCACCTAGAGATTGCATGAGAAACCTTCTGTTTTCTAGGATATTTGTGCTTGGGCTCATACTTTCTCAATTGAACACTATCCTCATCAGGCAACTTAGCAGCCTACATAATCCAAGGACAAGTTGTGTGCTTACATTTAACTTGTACCTTGGTTCTCTCATTAATGCTAAAAACCACATCCTTCTCATTCTTAATAGCATGTTGTCTAACTGTTTTTCTAAACAAAGACATGTCTGTAAAAAACATGCCTAACTCAAAAATAGGGTTTGAAATGTCTGGTTTCTCATTGAAAACATTATGACCCTTATGTTTATCCTTTGTTTTGCTGCCTATGGACTCAACTTGGGGTCTGCACACACCCTTAGTCCTACTTGAACTTAAGCCCCCAAACTCAACATCACTATCAATGTTTTCATCAAACATAATATCATCATCAGTAGCAGAAAAATCACAATCACTGTCTATGAAAACATCAGAGTGAGTAGAATCTGAACCCCAAGACTGAACATCATCACTATCATTGCTCATACATTCATCAATCAAATCATTAACAAGAACATTCCCAGTATCCCTAAGGTCATTTGTTGAAATGACTTCATCACAATCACCAACATATTTCAAAGGTTCATTAATATGAGGAAAAGAAGAGGTTGGGTTATCATTTTCAGAAAGTTCATGATTGTTCTGTGTAGCTTCATGCTCCACATATAAACCCACCAACTTACTATCATTCACCATTTGCCCCATTCTGAGTACATCACTATCATTATTCAAGACAAGCAAATTACTGCAGTCACTCACATCTCCTTGTGTGCAGTGAACATGTTTCATTCCATTCACCCCTAACTCTTCTAGCATCAACATAATCTCAATTAAAGAAATTTCATCAGGATGGCAATAATCAATATATGCAACTTTACCTGCCAAATAGTACTTATTGCCTAAATTCAAAAATTCCCCAGAATGATAAACCTTAATTGTAAACATCTCAGATTGGGGACCTGTTNAAAACACAGATTACGAATTAGAACACACCATCGTCGTCCCAAAACAAAAAACAAAATAAATGAAAAAAGAAGAACAGATTACGAATACGAGCTCACCATAATTAGGGCAACAACTTCCAGGCGGTATATCTTCATCATCGGTTGCACGTACTTTCCATGACATTGTTCAATAACTACTACGCTTCAATGATTTTCGATAGAAGGAAATTTTTTTGAAGATTAGGGTTAGGGCAGATTGAGAGAATTTGGGAGAGTTTTCAATTTAGGGATTTGGGTCTGAAGATCAATTTTTAGGTTTTAATTAGCACAACAACTTGAAATGTCTGTTATGCCCCCATTACCATGTCATCCTTGCCATGTGTCGGACCAATATTAACTCCGATGGCTGGAAGTGGGCAAGTGCACAAAAAATGCAAAGTTCATACCGGTTAAGTGCCAAAAAAAAAAGTTTAGTGGGCAAAGTATAAAAAGGCAGATAGTTAGGTAGGCAAAGAGTAATTTTTCCTTTCAAATAAGCCAATTCAAAATTTTATTTCAGTTGAATAATCAGCTAATTTTACTAAACACTTTTATTATATCGGCTAGTTTTTCAGTCATAAACCATAAGCTATCATTTATAAGCTCAAAATTCACTTAAAAGCTATCAACTAACTTATCAGCTATCAGTTAGCTTATCAACTAGATATCAAACTTAGCCTAATTTAATGAAATGCAACATGAATATGTAGATAGTATTAGAATAGAAAATCTCGTACAATTTATTGAAAGGATCCATCTTCATCACAGTCCCGCGAAGTCCAGGCGACCAACGTACGTCGCAGACCCACGAGATCGTCGGCGAGCCCCGTACGCGATGCACGGCCAGCACGCAGGCGACTTGCGAGGATATCGCTTGACCCGCTGCAGCCCTGCAGCCACACGACGCGACCCGCAACACGCTTGCTCGATCCGCATGCTGCTCCCACGCGACCATCCGAGTGACTCCAAGACATCCGACGAGTGAAAATTAGACAATCTCCAGAAACAAAAATCTACAGCGTCTTAGAGTCTGCATAATTTTAAGCCGTAAGTTTTCTACGCTAAACCTTAGTTTTGTTGCGCATAGTTTAATTGTAGAGCTTAATTCGTGACTTTCATATAGAAGACGATATTCACCAGTCGCAAATCCCCATCAACAAGTTCATAAGGGAAGTACGCACATAGAGCTAGTACGGCTTAGTGCGAATAATCACACAAGGGTAGAGGTTTTTTCGCCTACTTACATTAGTAGACAACCAAGTAGATCCTTTTAGTATTAGCTTTCTAGCGAAAGCAGTTGATGGTCATGTTAAGGGATTGAGAGTCGAATATATGACAGTTAAGACAACAATTATTTGAGAATAAAGATTGAAATGGTATATACTTAGAAAAGCCGCAAGTTTTAAAGTATAAGTAGGAGATTATTGGAGTATACTATAGAAGCTCGACTTTGTGTTACTCTCAATTCCATTTTGAATGAGATCCATGTTTTTAGTCCAGAGTATGTTCGTAGTTTATTTATTTATGCGAACATAACGCTCCTTTATTTTACATTGTAGATAATATGGTTCGATGTGTCGAACAAAATGATCATATTATCGTTTCCTAGTAAAATATAAATATTTGTTCACAGCGTAGACGGAATTGAACTAACTGGCGTGAAAAGTTGTACTGTGATTTTGAATTAGTTGGTCTTTGACTAATAAATTACACTAGTACATCTCGAATATATTGAACGGACCTGCAGGAGGATAAGATTATTTTATGCTGACCAAGTTAATAATCTTGATCTCAGTACTTGTTGCGTTTTCTTAACCCGTAACACAATAAACGGACGTATGTATTCGATACTTATTTATTTGATTTATCATGGGTGAGACTTATTATGTTAGGTCGACATACACTGTATTTTGGTAAATAATGTCGAGTGTGCCTGACCAAGTAGATGACGACCCAAAAATAAGCTCAAGAATGATTATTATGTTAAACCCGGCAAGAATTGAGTGGTAATATTTTCATATCAAGAAGTTGAGTAATTATATTGTTAGTAATTAATTAATCAATGGACGTTAGATCTTAATCATGAGAAGATAATCGAGCAATTAGCCCGGAAGACTATTGTCTCAAGGGGAGGGACAAACTCAAAATAATCTCGAAGATTAGGTCCTGAACAACAAGTATTGTACTCTTTTTTCTTTAACTGAGTTTTTTCCATTGGTTTTATTAGTTAAAGGTTTCTAATGAGGCAACTAGTGAAACACATGAATTTATATAAACCATTTGCTCTCTTTTTTCTTTACTAAGTTTTCCTATCTGATTTTTATGAGCAAGATTTTTTACGAGATACGTAGTAATTTCCAATAAGGAGTATCGTAATATACTGTGGTGGACATTACTTTGGTCAGACTAAAAGCTCATTACCCTACAAGCTGATGAATAATAATAGACTTTTCTGCTTCTCTTTCTTGTTCTATTTTATGACTTTTATATACATCTCTTATGCTAGGTGTCGATTGATGATTGCTTGGTGTGGATTGAAGAATTTCATATTACATCATTATTTCATTAAAAGCATTTGATTAAAAGCAACAAATGCCCTGTAATTACTAGTAACCATCTATTAATATATAAACTATTAATATATAAAGAGTCAATGATTTTTACTTAAAATAACAACTAAAAATCAGCCAAAAAAACATTTAGTTTCCCGTCTAAAGTATTTACTATATTGAATAATATTTTTGGCTAAAATTTAAAAATCCCGCCTAAATTAATGTACAGAATCATTATGGTCAAATATTGCGGTTATTACCCTTATTAGTTGCATGATTTAAATTTAGAATATAATATATTGATAAAACTTACAGCTATACCTTTATTAGTTGCATGATTTAAATTTGGTATATAATATATTGAAAAAAATAAAAAAAAATATTAAATTAAAAAAAAAAAATTATTCATAACTTACGTCAATATTAACTTGGACGTAAACGAAATAGTTAATTATTTATAGTTTAATATACCACTCAATAACCTACGGGTCAATATTAATTTGAATGTAAATGAAATAGTCAATTACTTATAGTTTAATAAATTACTCAACTATTTAATTTTTTTTTTATTTACATAGTTCATACGAAAATAAATTATTTTATGTAATGAAACAATATGAATTTTATATTTGTACTTATTATTCACATAGCTATAGGTTGCTAAATATATAATCATTTTACCAAAATAACTATTTTATAGAATCACATTATAGTCAAATCAAATTTTTGAATAAAAATTTTGAAATGATACTTATTTTGAAACAAATATAATATAATTTATTATCAATTATGTGTACCACACGAGTCGTGTACTAATTTTAAATAGACATTTTTATGTAATTTTGTACAATTTAAACTTCATATAATATTTTCAATAAATTAGTATTGGTAATTGTATTACATATTGATTTCATATTTTTAATTTATAAATATTACTTCACAAGAAATTTTAATTTATAAATATTAATTAATATTTCTTACTCGTGCACTGCTCGGAACTCATACTAGTTTTATTAAAAGTTACGAGCATTCAGTTAACGCTTATAAACATACGAATATCTTACAAAATGAGTACCATTACACGAACAGTGGTTAAGTACATGGCTTTTTTTATTCTCATTCCTAAAATTTGGCTACAATATTGAATTTTCTGCTAATATAAATGTAAACTGTAGGAGCAATATACCACAAGCTATTTCACAGGTGCTGCCTTCTAAATCTATAAAATTTTCTGACATTCTGAATCTCTGGACTTTCAAACATTTCCTCAATAGATTGATCCAAAGTTGAGCGTGTTTAGGAACTTGTAAACACACTCACCAATCACCGTAGAACCTTAGCAGTAGACAGCTCAACAAAAGCACTTTATAATTGGAAATTGTCGATCATATGTTGTATTACATCCACACCAGCAGAATAGATATGCCGAGTTTTGACCTAACACAGAAATTTTTTTCTTCAGTTATCGGTAGAAAAATGAGCTATTGTTTATAGATATATTGGTATTTGATTGGTTCTTTTTTTTTAACCTGTGTTAATTTTGAAAAATTTGGTATGGTTAGTTTTCAGTGGAATTTTAAGTTTGTATTAAAATAATAGTTAAAATAAAATGATTAAAATTGATTTGATTAAAAGTATGAGACAAATGATTGAAAGTAATAGGTAGTTAAAATTATGTGAATAGATGAAGAGTGAATTAAAGTAAATGTGATAGGTAAGGATGATGAACTGATATTATTTAGTTATATTGATAATATTGAGGATAGTATGACTGTGTTAGATTTTGACTTGAGATTGAATATTTTTTCTGTGCTTTTGTAAAGAAACAAGCTCTAAGGTTTCTGACTCAACTTGCTGATATAAAGTTTCAAACAACTACAACCCTCAAATATACTAAATGTTACAAATAGCCACAAATTTATTTTGTCCATCGATTTTTATTAGTATCAGCAGTCCACAAAGTTAGAAATTTAATGGTTAGAAATGTAGGATGAAAAGATGGAGCTATTTGTTATTCTTAGAAAAGCTGAATGATGTAATATTATAAAATATTTTACAAAATCAGCAACTGCAGTCAGCCCTACAAAGAGATTTGTTAAATTGTAAGATTGAAGCAAATGGAGTCATTGTCCATTGCAAATGGAGCTGGAAGAGTCATTGTTGACAATTTTCCTGACATAGTGCTAATAATGGACTAGATCAAAATGGCTCAATTAAATATAGTGCTTCTTCTATTAGTGAAGTTTCTAGAAAAAAAAAATAATATATCAAACGGCGCAATGCACCTTGGGTCGCTACGGAAACAGCCTCCTTGTATAATTACAAGGGTAAGGTCTGCGTACCACTAACCCCCCAGACCCCCAACCTGTTGGGAATATACTGGGTATGTTGTTGTTATTGTTGTAAGATTGAAGCAAATCTCAACATCTTTACCATTATTTAATTAACTCAGATTTTTGGGGATGGGATTTAGAGAAAAGAAAAAATTATAATATCATGTACAGAATATATCCAAAAGAGTCGAGCATGCATGCCTGAATTGTACTGTGAGCAAGAAATCTTTGTACACTTCCGCTGAAGTTAACATCGATCCTTTCCCAACTCAGTTTCGTTAAGCCTCTTATCATTGTCTCTGCAAATTCTTACACAATTCAAGTTCAAAATTTTATATGACAACAGCCAACCATTAACAGCTTCAAGTTATACATTGGAATTGTATCAAAAGCATGAAACTAAACATAATCTTAGGAATAAATATCTCGCTCCTCGGTTGAGCAAAGCAATCTTTTTATACTTTTCCTATCCGAGACGACTTGATTAGAGAGGAAAAGATTAAAAAGAAAAGATAAAGTAAAATAGCACAATGTCGTGCGACCTTATAATAAAAAAAAATAACAGAAACAATTTGAACCTTGACAAATTCATTCATACAAACTCACCTTCCATGTCACTTGTCCTGCCTCTACCAGAGGCAGCACTAGCTTCCAAAGTAACTTCTTGAGATTTGGTCATCCTTGGTAGTTCCTCATTCACGATATGTGGGTACTTAGGATTCTTAAGCATACACCGATGCTTAAATAAAAAGAAAAAGAAAAGAAAAGAAGAGTAAGGCGTCTTTCTTACATATTTATAGAAGCAATATGCATATGGGCTCAGAGTCTCACCTTTGGGAGCTCATGCTGACGACGCAATGATGAAGAACTCCACCCGACAAGATCTACATTAAGCATCAAGGAGGGTCATCATATAATCGATCTTTAGAATGTATGCAGGAAAAAAAATAAAAAATTAAAAATTAAAAAAAAAATAAAAAAATAGGCCTTTTAGAAGAAAAATTTGCAAAAGATGCTTTATTTGTTAGTGAAAAAGTCTAGATGAGAAGCATGGTTACAAATCTAAGGTACCATTGTTCTGTTTTTAAATCAAGCAGAAGCACAATTTTGGAAAATGGAAACATCAAAAGTTACTGCACGAGACATCGTAAAATAAAACAAGGATACGGTCAAAACGTGTGTTTGCATAGGCAACACGCCTCTTGAATGAATCCAACGCCGATCTGCAGCGAAGAGTACAAAATTTTAATCCAGTATCCACTTGTTGAAAAGCCCGAAGAACCTAAAATGAATAGATAACAGCTCACATGAACTTAAGATCCTCAGAGTCACTGCTCATTCTAAGCAGAAGAGGAGGTTTACCACCATCACCATCACTCAAGAATAAATGTTCTCCTGTTCTACCAAGTAACCACGAACTACGTGATGCAAGCTTTTCCAGCGTGTGAAACCCACAGAATACAGGGACCTGCAAGGATCATCACCTGATTTTATTAAAAATAAAATAAAATCACGAATAACTTAAGAATTACTCGGAAGGCATCGCAGTAGTACACTATGGTACTCATCAAGGATACACCGTGAATTACCATTCAAATGAATAAAACATAAGCAAAGATAGATTACTCTCACTCTCATACACATACGTAAGAAGATATAACATGTCAGGAAATACTTTTTTGAAAATCAAGGATACGCATAGAGCATGTATCCTGTTACTCCATTAAGACAGCCAACTAATAAAATCATCAACCTGACGTTAGACATTTTCATTGAAACATTTAGTAAAATATTCATTCTGAACTTTAGGAGCAAATTCATTCTCAGAGGATGAGGGGTAAAACCGTAATGAACTAGGGGACCTGCTTATAACCCCTGGAACCAAGGTGTGGAGTTGCAGAGGTGATGAAATTGACAGGCTCGAGTCCAGCAATTTTTCCCCTTAACTTATTATCTTCTGAAGATAAATTTCGACACTTATCCTCCTCACCATTATCCTGACCAGAGTTCACAATAAAACTTTGTTGATAGAGCTCGGCAATAGCAAATCTTGCCACCAAGCCACCGAGCGAGTGGGATACAAAAGAAATCTTCTGAAGATTTGGATGACGACCTACAACAGAAATCACCTGAAAAATTGAATAAGGCAAAAACACGCCTTTTAAAGCTTAGAAACTTCGGCTCAAGTAGAGTTAAATGATGTGGTTTAATGAATTACGAACCTCATCTGCTAATCTCTTTCCCATGACATCCACACCATCGAACGTCAACATTGAAGAGTTTGATTCAGAGCCTGGACATTTGCATGTCAAGTGAGAACAGTTCAGTTTAAGACATCGATCTTATTTTCCCTTCAATTCAGATTATTTGGAAGACCATCGGTTAAAAAGTTGCAACTTTTTGTGACTGAGACGAAGATGGAAGCTTCTAGAAACATTGTTTTGACTGTCCATTCAAGCACTATATCTTATTCCAATGGGAAAAAAGCAAGAAAATAATTTCATGACATGAAGGAGACAAGTCAGATTGTAGTAAAAGAATCACAAATTTATACTAGAGAAGAAAAAACATTTATTTCTATCTTCTTTGTCTAATAACATATCAAGTGTTTGCTATCACTAAAAGAAAGGCTATTATCCGCCTCTGTTTTAAGACGAAGCAGCGTCATGCCAACTTCTAACTTTTGATTCAGAATATCTTAATCTGAATCTCAAAGCCGGGGGGAAGATGGAGTACATTTCTGACTGTAATTAATTTAGCTCAGAATTTTATAAATAATTAATCAGTTTCCCAACTCTCTCTATTAACTATTTTTAGAAGCACAATACTAAACCAGTATACTAACACATGGATTTTCATTTGTGATCAACGGGATAAGAAAATAGAAATGGAAAACAGTTCAACTTTAATGATCAAAATGCAAGGGCAAGTCAAAAGAAACCTTCATTTGGGAAATATGGTTTTAGTTAAATCAACACATATTGAAATCCAAATTTGCTCATAGACCCATCCATCTCTACAAATGAAAAATAAAACATTTCTCATAATGAAAATAGCTAATAACAGCATAAATCAAATAACTCACGCCAAACAAGGCAAATCAATCTGATATAATGTGGAAAAAATGACAAACAAAAAATTCAGAAAAAAAGGACCCAAATGTTTGCAGAAAATAGAGCTCACAGTGTACTTTAACATCATTGGGGTACGCCTTAACAAACTGCGTCGCCGCATATCTCCAATTTTGAGCGCTGCAATATTATCAACTCAGTATTGGCAGCCTAAGATAACAAAAATGGAGATAAAATTGCCATTCCAGTTTTCGAACCTTCCAATAATTCCATTGACCATGACAATCAGATGGTACGGCGATTGCTCCCTCCCGTTGCCAACGGCTTCGGCCTCGAAACTCCCGTCGTTTTCTGGCGCCGGCTTCTCCGCCACCTGAACGGCGTCGTCCGATCTGAAGCACCCAAATTTGGAAATTAAGTAATAAAACCTTTTCGTCGTCTTCTTCTTTTTCGCTTTCAGCTTATGTTCCTCTAAACCCATCACGTTTTCTTTTTCGTGTCTCTCCTTTTCCGCTCTACTATTCCCCATCTCCATTGAAATAAAGTAAGAATTTGTATTCTGCTTTTTTGGTTTTATGCATACAATGTTGTTTTTAGTCACTGCAGACGTCTGTGAGGAATATGGCCGACCTCACAAACTTTTACAATTCAATGTATCAAGTTGAATCAAGCAACATATTCTAGAAAAAAATTGGTGTTAAATAATAATTGCTGGTATTCTAGAACTGTGACAATGGGTATTGTTTATTTATTATTTATTAATTATATACTAACTATTATTCAATATGCACATCCATAGATCAAAATAAAATATTATAAATCATAAGTATGAATATTATATCAATAATTATAAGTTATATAATATGCATACCACGTTTTATAAACTAGTATGAGTCTCGTGCAGCACGTTTTATAAACTAGTATGAGTCTCGTGCAGTGAACGAGTAAGAGATATTCATTAATATTTATAAAATAAATTTTTTTATTAAGTAATATTTATAAATTAAAAGTATAGAATCAATATGTAATACAATTACCTATACTAATTTATTGAAAATGTTATATAAAGTTTAAATTGTACAAATAAAAATGCCTATTTAAAATTAGTACAAAACTCGTGTGGTGCACATAACTGAAAATAAATCACATTATATTCGTTTCAAAATAAGTATCATTTTATTTTTTTTATTCAAAAATTCGATTTGACTATAATGTGATTTTATAAAATAGTTATTTTGGTAAAATTTTATCATATATTTAACAACATATGTGAATAATAAAACTATTCGAATAAAATAAATTAAATAGTTGAGAAATTTATTAAACTATAAATAATCGACTATTTCGTTTACGTCTAAGTTAATATTGACCCGTAAGTTATTGAGTAATTTATTAAACTATAAATAATTGACTATTTCGTTTACGTCCAAGTTAATACTGACCCGTAAGTTATGAATAATATTTTTTATTTTTAATTTTAAATAAGAATCTTATTTTTTTAATATATGAAATACCAAATTTAAACCATGCAACTAATAAAGGTAATAGCTGCAAGTTTTATCAATATATTATATTCCAAATTTAAATCATGCAACTAATAAAGTTAATAGCTGCAATATTTGACCAAAATGATTATGTACATTAATTACATTAACTAAGGCGGAATTTTTCAAATTTTGGCCAAAAATAATAAATACTTTAGGCGGAAAACCAAATATTTTTTTTGTTGATTTTTAGTTATTATTTCAAGTAAATATCATTGCCTCTTTATATATTAATAGATTTATCAATTAATAAAAATGTACAGTTATAAACTATTTTTACTTATATATAATATGAGATCAAAATAAAATGCTAATATTAATTGTAAAATAAATAACCTTAAAAAAAATTGCTATAAATTTTTTATAAGTGTATAATTTCCATAAACCTTTAGTGTTAATTTATAATTAGTTAATATTAGTAATAATTATTATATGATAAATAAGTTAAAAAATATTATTACACTTAATTAATGCAAATAGCAATAGCTTTCACAATTAAATTAAAGAGTAGGAAAATGCCATTAATTTGTTCGAGAACCTCTTGAGACAGTGCCTGCACCACAACCTCTCACTAGGTTATTGGTGAATTTTTTTTATGACTCTCTCTACCAGAACCTTCATTACATGGTGGACAATACGGCTGGTGGAGACATTGGGGCACGCACGGCAGATGAAATGATAGGAATGTTTTAGACGATGAGCAGTAACTCATCTCAAAAGAGCATCCTAGAAATGAGGAAAATGTTGAATGAGGTATCTCATGGAAATGATGTAATGGCCCAGCAAATAGTTGACCCTATTGAGCAGATGCGGCTATTGAATGCAAGAGGAGTCCAGGCAACACAATCCATGGCTATTAATGTGTGCGGAGCGTGTGGAGTTCGGGATCATGGGTCCGAAGTGTGCCCTTCGACTATCGAGTCGAACTATGGAAAGCAATATGCAGAGAGAATGCTTTGCAAGGGTACCAAAACCGGTCGAGAAACGATCTGTACTCCAACACGTACAACCCGAGGTGGCAAAACCACCACAATTTCTCTTGGGCCAACGACAATAATGTCAAACATCCCCAAAAAAATTTCAATCAGCCACAACCCCGACACAACTTTATTTTCCAATAGCAAATGAGGTTGAACGTCTCCTAATTACAACAACAGTAAATGTGACCAATGGTGGGGATGTAAGCCTTGTAAATGGGTCTGAGCTCATCAAATCAGGAGGAAAAGCTAGACAATATTCTCCAGTTGATCACGAATCAGAACGCGTCCATTAAGCGCCTCGAGACCAAGTGGGCGAGTTAGCCACTCAAGCCGGGAACATCAAGGTCGAATTGAGCAAAGACAAGTTGTCGAGCCGACCGAAGCAAGCCAAGGCAATTACGATGTTGATGACTAGCCTTGATGGACAAACAGTGACAAAGGGGTCATAAGAAGAGAAAGAAACTCCGAAAAGATGCCCAGTAACAACGCTGACCTAACCAACCCTGAACAAGTCTCCAAATCCATACAAACTGCGAAGTACCTTTTCAGACCGACTTTAAAATGAGAAGGATGAAAAAAGGATGAAAAACAATTCTGAGACCTCTACACGATATTGTCCAAGGCTAATGTCGAGTTACCACACATTGATGTGATAAAAAAGATGTCTTCATATGTAAAATTCTTCAAAGATTTGACGACGAATATAATACAGTTTGAGGACAGTGAGAGAGTAGTTGTGTACGAGGCTGCAAGTGCAATGCATCTAGACTTGTCGAAGAATAAATGAGACCTCGAGGGCTTCATGAGTGAAGCTTCCACATTTTCGACAGTGCGTGGCGGAGGGATGAATACTTGAACCGACAATTTTCGATGACTCGGTTGTCCAAATTTGATGGGTGGGCTCTCGTTTTGTTCAATTTTTCATGGAAAATAATACATCTTAGTCGATTTAATGTTTTAAGTTTGTATGAGTCGTCAATTTGTTGTGTCATTTTTGCCCTTTTTTCTAAATTTTCTGCTACTTTTCCAACAGCAGCACGTCGTCGGATGCCAATTTGATCGTCACCGGTAGTTTTTATCGGGACGCGGTGTGAACAATAAATAATTAACAAACGTAATGTTGGGTATAAAAATCTGATTAAGTGAAAACTTATAGGCAAAAATCCAATTTTGGAACGCTAACTTGTTCATTGTCCACTTTTAGTACACTATCTTTCTCCTCATAAAAAATGGTCCATTATGTTACACTTTTCATCAGTTTTAGTATACTAGTCCCGTGGCCCGGGATTACGAGATGTCAAATCAAGTTTTTATCCTACCACGTCAATATCTTATCCCTCCACGTAGTTCCAATCCCGGTCCACGTCATCTTGTAATCCTGCCAACTGGAGTAGCATACAAAAACTGATGAAAAATGTAACATAATGGACCATTTTTTATAAGGAGAAAGATAGTGTACCAAAAATGGACAATGGACAAATTAGCGGACCAAAATTGAATTTTTGTCAAAACTTATAGTACGAAGAGATAAAGTTGCACGTACTACATAAAAATTTTCCAAATAGTTTTTAAGTAAGAGAAATTTAATGGTTTAGTTAGTAAATTTTAATAAATACTTATTTAAGGAAGTAAATGAACACGTGTCACAGTTTTAATGAGTTCATGTTGTTAGATATGCACGAGACTTGTTTGAGGGTTACCTAACGACTACTCATACTTTCATTAGACGATGTCATACTTAAAAACCATTATAAATTGAAATAGAACAAATATGAATATTTGATATTATAAGTAGGCAGTTTTTTTCATAAAAATGATGTGTCAACCTGCCTAACATTTAGGTTGACACGTAGAAGAATTAGTGTTGTATATGGACATGGATTTAGATTTCCCCAAGTTGCACTACAGCAATGCAGAATCTATATATATATAATTGCTAGCTAATTCCATTTAATAAAAATATTTTCACTTTCCCTCCAAAAGAAGTTACATTTTTTTAATTAATTACTCATTAATCTCACATTTAAAAAAGTTTTTTATAGTTAAATTTAATTAGTTAATGACTAAATTAAAAAGATTTATTTTAATTAATCCCACATTTATGTTAAGTACAGTATTATCTTAATATCTTATCGATTTTTCAAAAAAATAGTAACTTTTTTCAATAAATTTTATAAAAATTAGTCAAATGTGCTTATATTCATATAAATCAGAAAAAAAAATTAAATCTTAGATATATAAAAAGAACATCGTTGAAATAACTTGAATCCGCAAGGGTAATTCTATACTCATTATCAATTACTTTAAATTTTTTGTATATATAAAAAATTAATATTATATTTACTCATTTATATTTAGATAGTATTTTTTTTTTATTAAGAAATAAGGACAATCTCTATCAATCAATAAGAGTCAAGGACAAACAATATAAAGAAGTGTTTCATATGCTATGACATGATCAATAAGAGTCAAAGACAGTCTCTGTCGCACGTCGGCTTACTACTAAAGAGCTCTGCATTTAGTCATGAGCAATTATACGTGGCACTTTTTAGAGTTACGAGTCACTGGAGTTTGAAAATTTTGATTTGAGCTGAGGGAGATTTTGCCGATAGAAAAACCACGACGTTGTTTTATAAAGAAGTGTTTAAGAATATTTATATTTTTTTTCTTAATTTTTTTCAATGAATTTGTTATGATTTTTACTATTGTTTATAATTTTTATTATTTTTTCATAATCATATAGTTTTCCGTGCAAATGCACGGGACAAAAACAAGTATTTGTTTGAATTCCAGGCTATGCACAGTTTTGGGCTGGAAGTGATGAACTCACTCGCCTTCTCGTTAAGACATATATATGAATACAATGTTTGAGAAGGCCCAAAGATGTAGTTCAGCCCATAAATAACTCTTAATAATCTTCACTTTTACATAGCTAACGTACTGGTATAATGTATGGATCTCTAATATTAAAAAATATGATAAAATTTATTTAATGTTATTTTTACTTATTTCTTTGTTTATTTTAGTTTTTATTGGTAAATAATAATTCAATGTTAAATTAATAAGTATATTTACATTATTTTAAATTTATAAATTACAGATAAGTTATTGATTGGCTTATTCATATTTAATTTTGT